AAGTAAGTAATAACAGAGATGACCTCTCAGAAATACAAATAGAGTGTTTTTATATTTAAATGGTTATCTTTTGCAATTTCCCTGACTTCAGTGCATATCAAACCCTTTAAGGTGGAGTCAATAAATAAAGCCTCATAAGTAGTGGTGTGGGCCTTATTTTTTTTTTTAAAGAATTGCTAAAATGGTCAGAGGGCTTTCTCATCCTCTAAAGGCATTGCAAGAGCTATACAAGCTGCATGGTAACAATTAGAATGTTATAAACAAAAATACTTCCTTTTATTATTTCCTCTTATTTTCCCAGTGTGGTACAATGGAAAAGTGTTGGATGTGAAGTCAGAGGATCTGAGTGCAAATGCTATCACTCCCTCTTACTATTTGGGTGGTCTTGGGGAACACACTCGGGAAACTTGTTCATCTGGAAAATTAGAAGATTGATCTAGATGGTCTCCAAGACTCTTTCCCACTTTAAATCTACAACCCTAGAATCCTCTATCTCCTAAAAAAATCCTTTATTTTTAACACATGGAAAGATTCCAGTTGTCATAAATTCCTTTATCCTACATTGTTGAGAAGAATATTTTCACAAGACCAGACAGATCTCTCCGTTGTTTTGAAATGTGTCTCACTTGGTGTGATAGCAAACTAGTTGAGTAGATTTTTTTTATGCCATTACTGAGTATGGTTTTCCTATTCTGGTAGACTATAAAATCCTTGAGGCGTCTATTTCATTTTTGTGTCTTCTACAACATCTAGAACTTGGCTTAAACAGAGCAGTAGGTCCTCAAAGATTTTTTTAATGAATGGATGGATGGATCCATAAATTCCTTCAACTTAATCTAAATAAATTAGTTTGCTTTCTCATAGCCCAACAAATCTCTGTCATAGAAGAAGGATATCAAGAGAAAACAAAAGTCTTTACTCTAATCATTTGAAAATTTAGGATGTATAGCCTATATCAGATTACATGCCGTCTTGGGGAAGGAGGTGAGAAGGGAAGGGGAGAAAAATTTAAAACTCAAAAGCTTATGGAAATGATTGTTGATAATTCAAAATAAATTAATAAGAAAAGAAAAAAAAAGAAAATTTAGGGTCTTTATTCTCACTGAATTCCCAGAGAATTGCTAAACTCTTTAGGTAACAATTTGTTTTCCATCATGGAAATCATGTGTTTAGCTTAGACAGAAATTCTGCAAAATAGATGACTGTTGTACACACTAAAAAATAATAAGATCAATTCTAATGGGTAGTTTATTTTATGTCTCATTACTTTACAATCATTCTTTATACATACATAATCAGTTTTTAAAGTATTATAATATAAAATATAGTGGATACTAGAGCTATCAAGATATTTTAATCTTTTTTAAAAAATCAATGTCTTTGAAGACCTTGGTGTTTTCTTAGAGTTATCATTATGAACATTATTTATATTTGTGTAAAAACAAATGGCCTTAGGCAGGGAGAGGCAGTCTCTTTTCTCAGGTCACCTGGACATAGGTTGAGTCCTGTGATAGCCTGGCCTTATAAAGGGGAGACAAGCTCTTCTTACACTGTTGGGCTTGTTAAGTTCCCACCCTGTAGACCAAGGGAAGGATCTTTTAAAGCTTAGTTTCACCTTCCGTCTAGCTATGTTCCTCCCAAAAGGGACCAACGGTGTCCCTTTTAGAAAGGTATTTAGTAGGAAAAAATAGATCAAATATAGTATGGCTATTTATTTCCTCTACCACTATAGAAATACATAAAACACACAAGACTTATAAGCAAGCAATGAGAAATGATAAAAATGTGATACAATAACCTATCACACATTACGTTATCTTCTGAGGCTGATACTTAAAACATGAAGCACTTTGTGGGACTTCTGAGTGTACATGTCCCTTTTGTCTTAAACCTACACTCCCTGAATAATTCCTGGCAATTGTCATATTCTAGTAAGAGAAATTGTTCCAGAGTCCTCCTTCCTCTGGGCAACTAGCACCTGGATCTAGGACACTTCTCAAATTCGTAAGGCTGAAAATTCTCATCTCAGCATTGATGTTTGCTCAGGGAAAGAAACATATATCCAAGGAGGCAGCTGGGGATTTAAAATCCAATCTCAGACTCACCTGGGTATACACGTGTTCTTGATGCCATATGCAAGAAGCCCCCATAGCTGCAGAGGAGGGAGAGGGGAAGAAGAAAATCCCTGATTCCCCCTTGCAAGAAGTCTAAGGAAGAGTTGTCAGAGACCCAAGCCACACATTCAGAAGAAAGGAAGAAGAAATTTTCTCTCCAGTTTAAGTCTACCAAGTGGAAGGCTCTTCCTATTCAATGTCCGATTGTTTTTGACACTGCCTCCCCACCCCAAAACTGGATGGCATAAGGACATAGACCAACTAGAAGGTTCTAGTTCATAGGGATTTCTGCTTTTAAAAATCCCATAGAAATCAGTTCCTAATGTATTTACTGTCATTACTAAAATATGGTTACTTCTTAGGGATACGGACTTTTGGAAGAAGATAAAAATTAAAATGCAGATTATTTGCATGACACATAAATAGCTAGTTCACTCAGTCTATAATCAACTTAGTATTTTTAAAACCCAAGCAATGTTAAAATAAATCAGTCAGAACAGTTTAATACCTTTCCTCTCTTCATAGAAGAGAGATACTCTTCACTACCCCTGATCCCATTGATTGCCACCTTCTCTAGCAACATGATCCAGTTATCTTTTCTTTCTCAAGTGTCTTTAGTCTTTCCATTGCCACTAGCTTCTTCTCATTTGTGCAACCATACTCAACTCTCCCTAATCCTAAAAAGGAAAGCCTTGATTTGACCCTTCTAACCCATCAGGCTGTCTTGCCATCTTTCTCCCTACCTTATCTGGTAAACTTCTCTAATACTTGTGTATAGAATATCAGCAAGTGAATGTCATGTTCTTTGAGGGCTACTGAGATATCAGAATTGTCCTACATTGGCCAACTTCAAAATGCACCAGCTCTATCCGAGACTTCATCCTGAGGTTTATTACCCACTCTTGGTGATCTCATCAATTCTCATGGGTTCATCTATCACCTCTGTGTGATCAACTCCCAGATTTATAGTCAGTCTTATTCTATTTCCTGAACACCTTTGATTGCCTGGTTGGTATTGCCAACTGGCAGTGCCATGAGATTCTTATCTACAAATAGAACACTGGATTGGTTTGACTCTGAAACTTCTAAGTTGCATAAGACAAATAGTGATGGGATTAGAGATGAGGAAGAGCTAGAGACACCTCCTTACCAAGGAGCTAATCAGGTATAACACAGTGAAAATGAGATGGAAGACATTAGATAGGTGGATGAAGAAAGTCTGAGAATCCGGAAGCACATTAAGAAGGAAGGATGGGAGGGAGAAGAGCAGATATTAAAAACCTACTATGTGCCAGGCTCTGTACTAAGTGCTTTACAAATATTGTCGGTTGGAGAGTTTGCTTAGGGCTTTGGGGCCATACAAAGGAAAACAGATCTTAATATTTTAGAGAAGTGATAGCATTTCATTTTTTTCCCCTCAGAAAATGATGAAACAACCATTAAGAAAGGTATTCCAAAGAATATGGTAAAGTATCACAATGGAAGGATATAAGGATTTTCATTTCGAATATATTTGGTCCCAAATGCAAGCTGTTCGTTGACACATGAATAAATGATTCAGGGCATGTTTCCTTCTGGACTTAGAAAAAATGTATGAAAAATTTGATCCTAAAAGTTGATTTATTTCAGGAAGTTATAAGGCATAGAGAGATGGTAGAGGGAAAAGGAAGGAAGGAAGGGTAGAAGGGAAGAAGAAATGAGAGTGAGTACAAGCTTGGAATGAACCCCCATAACTGTAACAAGCTGTGTTCACAACGAAGTACATTCTGACAAGAATCAACTCCAAATACCATGAGGAATGCAGCCAAAAGTAGTGCAGAAATTCTCAAAAGTGGGTTCCAGTCACCCTTGGAAGTCCTTTGTGCTTCCTGCAGGGGTCCTTCAGGCTGAAGGCTTTGCCAGGAGAAGGGGAGAGATCCAGACCAGAGCCTGAAGGGAAAATTATTGAGAGGAAAGAAAAGGAGTGGGGAGGGAAAGTGGGGGGCAAATATTTGTGAAACGAAGAGGATAAAAGAACCGAGGCCCAGAGACACTATAAAGGGAAAGAAACACTGATTGTAGCATTTAAAGGAGAGAGAAATCTCCATAATAGTCATAAAGGCTCCTTGGTTGGGGGGCTGGGAAGAAAGGTGATTTCTATAGCGAAACATCCTACTGACCTCACCATTTTAGTAAAGCTTGTTTCAAATAGGAAACTGAGGGGAACTTTTTTTTTCTTTATTTGAAACCAAGAGTAGCTTTTGAATAAAACAAAGAGTAGCAGGTTTAGGGTTGTCCTTTTTTTTTTTTTTAAGGTCTGTAGGCAATGTCCTATTAGGGAGTAAATGATACAGAGTTCTACCTACTTCCTTTTCCTTCAGAAAATCTCTTCTTTGAAGAATGATGAACACCAACTTTCATAATCCAAGTGAGGTCAGATTAAAATAGGCCCATCTTCTGCCTTGCCACTCCTTCAGATATGAAAATTTAATATAAAATTTCCAAATCTACAGCAGTCCTATAGAGCATGCAGTGCTAGATAAATCCTGAATCACAGTACTCACCGTGGCGCCTAGCCATTTCTTCTAGGTACCAGTGGCATTTACAATTTATTCTGAAACCCCAGAAGCTACTTCATTTGTCCTACTCAGGCAGTTTCACTTTTTACTACCACAATAATTTAAAAGGAAGCATTAGATAGCACTCCCTGGTATAAGCAGCAGTTGAAGTTCACCTGCCTGATCCTTAGATTTTGTAACCAGATTAGCCAATAAGTACATGCAGTACCTACTTTTCCTAGATATGTGTGTGTATGTGTATGTGTGTGTGTGTGTGTGTGTGTGTGTGTGTGTGTGTATAAAATTTAGACCTGAGATTTCAAACAATGTGGAAACTACCTTCAGCCACTGCAGATATGTAATTCCCATGTTACTTGTGGTCATATAAAGTTGACTAGAGAATGGAAAGGTTCAGTGAATTACCCATGGTCAAACACCTAGACTGTATCAGAGGCAGGGTTTGAATTCATACCTTCTGGATTCTTTAGCCACCCTACCAACATTCCTCTTGTGGACTTATGCATGGGCCCTTGAGTTTGACGGAAGCGTAGTGATGTCAACAAAAAAAGCCAAATTCAGGCAGTGATATATCACAATGGATAGAGTGCTGGGCCTAGAGACAGGAAGACCTGAATTCAAATTTGACCTCAGACATTTACTCTCTGTGTGATCTTGGACAAGTCACAACCTCAGTTTGCCTGCAAAATGATGAACTTAATAGCACCTAGCTCTCAAGGCTGTTGTGAGGATCAAAAGAGATAATCTCTGTAAAGCACTTAGCACCATGTTCCACACATGGTAGACAGTATATAAATGCTATTTATTATTATTATTATTAAATTGGTTTCAACTTCTGGTTGATTTAGATACTGAAAAGAGCTTGAATGTCATGTGCCTTGCACTGATGCGTTCATAGAGGCCCACATGCTATTGACTGAGAATATTGATATTTTTGATAAAGGGTTAGAGAAAGAATTGAAGCCCTTGGAAGAGCAAGCCCTGTTGTTTTATACTGAAAGCTCAGTGTTCCTTGTCCTGACTCCTTTGGAAGATTCCTTGCATCTCTGAGCCTAGACTTGTTTTTTGACCTTGAAGCTTATTTTTTGACCAGGTTTTCATCTTGAACTGAGCCAGGCTCATTTCTGCCACCTATTTTGCGACCTGTTTACACCCTCTCTTAACCACTTGTCACCTCCTGAATGATCAGGGCACACTGGCAGTAATTGGGCCTTAATCCCTACAGAGTTCTGTACTTCTCCCCAAATGACTGAAAATTAAGGATATCATAAATAATATAAAGGGCAAAAAAATTACTTGTAACATTTGAATTGCTTTTCTGTTTGAAATTTACATAGTAAGTATGAATAAATGAAAAAGCATTTATTAAACACTGTTACACTCTGCTAATACATATTATATATATAAAATATAGATAAAAAAGTTATCTGTAGAAATATGCATATATATATTTATATGTTTCTATGGGTATATATGTATATATACACACATGTCTATGCACACTATGTTTTGCCATAGTGTTTTCTGTCCATGACAGAATATACTCTATCTGTTCTTGTTGTAGCTTGGGCCTCAACAAGAAGAGAAGATGAAGACAGTGGGCGGGAGTGGGTGGGGTATGCTGGTCACCAGTGCTTCCTCCTGCCCTGTCTAGTCCAAGAAATGTTAAGGGTATTGGTGATGGCAGATGTGCTGAATTCCCTTTTTAGATTTTTCCAAAGATCATTTGAGATCCTTCAATAGACCCTCAGTGATCCTAATTTGTTTCTCACTTTGAGGCTGAGATCTAGTACCCCAAGGCAACACTTTAATTTCTTCTCACCCCCCCAATCTTTTTTTTTCTTTACTTATATTCAGATACATTAATGGATAGATTATATGAGACCTTATCCCATATATTTCCCTTCCATGGGTGAAGGCCAAAAGCCCTTCACACCTCATCCTATGAGATTCTATTTTCTATGGTAAATTAGGCCATAGAAATATAAATAAATAAAAGTTCCGGTAAAACCCAGTTGAATTGAAGCAAGGGAAGATGATAGACTGTCATTTCCTCCACTACAATCACTTGAACAGGTGCTAATTTTACACTTTGGTGGCCCTTTTCACTTTTACCTCTCCAATCTCCAGGAGGCATGAGTTTGAAGCGGAGAAGTATAGATAAACTACTATTGCTGCTTCTTCAGGCTGTTACTCCATGTGCTGAAGGGGAAATCCTTTCTAGTTTGCTCCTCTCTCCTTGTGCTTTCTCTCCTTTTTTTCTCTTTTTTGAAGGTTTTCCTTTTACTCTCGACCCAGTCCCAAACAATATGATTTTTTTTTCTTGTCTTAGGAAATGAGCAAAAAAGTTCAAATCACAAATGTCTTTGCAAATCTAAGCCATTCTTATTCCCCTCCAGTGGAGATGTTTCACAAGTCAACTTTAATAATATATTGTAGACTATTTATACCCACCAGGCATGGTTCCATTGCTTTTTGTGTCACCTATAATTTTGATTCTTCAGAGATCATGGCATTTTAAGACTCACAGCCATGTAACATCTCCAGAAAAATATTAATGTTAAAAAGATTTGGGGGTCATAGGAGGCAGCTGCATATCACTAGAAGCACTGCAGTTTCTTAAATGCAATACACCCAGATCCCTTGCTTCACTTCAGTTTGGGGGAGGGGAAAGCTCATTGTCCATTTGCAGTACCTTTCCAAGAAATAGGTAATGTAGAGCCAACTCTATGAACTGTTCATCCAAATGCATGTCATAATCCAAGAAATTAACATGCTTCATCCATTTGCCTTTTTTTTTTCATCTTTGTGGATTGCTTTGATGATATCTCTTTTGAATCTTACTGAGGTGCCCCTGAGGAAATTTTGATGCAGTCAGCAGAATGTCTTTGAAAAACAGAAGCATCTGGAGACCATCACCATCTATAGAGAATTCACCTCCCATTGTGTCTTTACATGAGATATTCTTTATGTTCATTCTTCATATTTGTGACAAACACCTTCAGCAGGTATACATCTCCCTGTTGCTTAATATTGCCTTGCTTAATATTGACATTCAGAGTATCACTGAATGAGTCAAGGCTATGCTGGAAGCTATCAAGTACTCTTATATGATTCGAACAAACACGTGGATGATCCCTTGTTGAAAGAGAGTTTTAAGTCTGATTTTTGCTATCCTAAATCAAATGGTTTTTTGTTTGTTCTTAATCAGAAAACAATAAACCTCACAGGAGCTTTCTAAACCCTTTAGTTAAATGTGTGACTGAGAAGATGTCTGCCTTGAAGTAACATCTTGAAAAATCTATCTTTTTCCAACTTGTTTTCATCAAGGATACACTTGATACAAGTATAGACTATTGTCATGAGTATTGTATAATGACACCATAATAGGTACATGGTTTTGTGATTGCCTATGGTTTTTTTTTAGTTACCTCTTTTGCTATTTTGATATTGTTTTTTTTCCTTTTTTGGGGGGAATCTTTCTCTCTTTGAAATATTTTAAAGAATCAATATTCATATGCTCTTAACAGTGTGTTGTTTCCTAACCACTTTTCCTCTCTTCATTTCCTTTTTTTTTTTTTGGCTTTATAATTCTTGATTTGGGACTTAG